GCTCCTTGAACTTGATGAATATTCCCAACTTTGACGCTTTCAGTTCATCATATTCATCAGGTCTGAGATTTGCAGATAGAGCTTCAAACAACTTCTTGTCATCAGAATGATACGAAATGCTCCTCAGTGCAGGGGGCTCTTCTCCTAATGTAAACAACCTCGGCGGCAGTTCTGATATATCCATTTTAAGGCCTGCAAATAATCACAAACAACCATCTCAACCACAAAGGTAGCGCACTATTCTAAATACTATAGAAGACTAGCAGACGACTTCCAGGAAGTGAGATAACTACTCAGACGACTTCCTGGAAGTCTTCTACAGAGTCTTACTCTCTGGACGACTTACATGTAAGTCGTCCAGAGAGTAAGACTTCGTAGAAGGCTACCAAGAAGTGAGAAGACTACTCAGACGACTTCCTGGAAGTCTTCTACAGAGTCTTACTCTCTGGACGACTTACATGTAAGTGAGAAGACTACTCAGACGACTTACAGTCGGAGAAGATTTAGACGGAGAAGATGTGAAAAGAAGAGTTGTCCCTACCAGTTACAGATCTGCATATCGAAGGGAAAAGAAGAGTCAAGACTACAATTTTTAGGGTTTTCCGGCGGCTAAACGCCTTAAAACATAAGATATAACATACCGGCGGCGAAGGAAAGGGCTACGAGATTTCAGATCTGAAAAAAAAGAAGGGGATGGTCAGTTTAAACTACGAAAATACTCTAAGCCATGAAAGAAAAACAAGATTCGTCGAAATCAGAGAGATTACCGGCGAAAACAGAGAGATTCGTCGAAATCGGAGAGATTCGTCAAAATCGCCTTTACAATCGTCCTTGGAGAGAAACGGCGCTAGGGTTTCGGAAAATTGTGAAAAAGTGAAAAAAATAGCTTTTTTATGTCCGGTAAAAATCCGGTTCGGTTAAAACGTAAAATGTTAAAATTAACGGTTCGGTACAATTAGACGACTGAAATTTCAGTCGTCTGAGAAATAATTTAAAGCAGACGACTGAAATTTCAGTCGTCTGGGAAATAATTTAAAGCAGACGACTGAAATTTCAGTCGTCTGGGAAATAATTTAAAGCTTAGTCGTCTCGGAAATAATTTAAAGTAGACGACTGAAATTTCAGTCGTCTGGGAAATAATTTATAGCAGACGACTGAAATTTCAGTCGTCTAATACCTAAACATAACCCCTAAACTTTATTCTCTAATTAAACACTTCGAAACATTAAATTAAACTTGAAAAATGTTTACTATACACAGAAATAAACACATAGAGGTCAAATTAATTTTTTTCAAAAAAACATTTCATCTTTTCAAAATCTAACCCTAAGATTACATACAATACTACAACATATGTTTGCCAAACCCTTAAACCAAAGAATATCATGATTCACTACTTCCACTCATCTATGCTGAAAACAAATCAATTTTATCATTTCTTAATTTGTATCACTTATAAGTGTTTATAATTACATGTTTTTAATTTTTCACTCATGAAAATATTTTTTACAGAATTTATAAATTATTTTTAAGATTCAACCGTCTAGACAACTAACATTTCAGTCGTCCAGACGACTGAAAAGTAACTCAGCCCGACTCAGACAACTTACTGGGGTTATATTCGTAAAAATGTCTTCTGTTTTTTTGTTTGGTCACAGAGGACTATATTGTAATTTCATAGCCCTTTTAGGTTAGATTTCATTCAAGTTGGGGTCTAGTATTGAGGTTAAAACCAAATTGTGGGTTAGTTTTGGCAAAAATCCCTACCTTTTATCCCGAAATATTTGTTTTTGTTTTTTTTTTGGTTTCATGTGATGTGTTTGTGCTCGATCGCTGGTTATTAGAAGCACTGACCCATGCTCTATTACCAACGGAGCCACTTCAACACACACGTTTGTCACCAAAAAAACTTTAAGTAGCATCTTCTTGAAATAAATAATGTTTCCAGAGACATCAAACTGCTCAATCGTATCACTACATGACAAATAAAAACATAACAACAGATAACTAAAAGAGACTGATGATGAGAGAGTTTCACCAGCCTAGACCAAGACACACACAGTAACAGAGAGTTTCAGAGACTCCCTTACAAACACATTACGAGCGAGTACACAGAGAGAGACGGACCCAGAAAAATTTAACACTGTAGAGTGAGTAAGAAACACCAAAGATGTGTTTCAAAAAAAAGATACACCAAAGATAAAAATAAAAGAGAAGAGAAATATATTGCCAAGACTTTATAACCATATGGATACATCTTGCTACTTCTGCTGCATACCATCCATTGTTCCTAGTACTCCCGGCATTGGTGTTTAAGAATACATTTTTACGATCATTTTCGTGTAATAACAATTACTCCAATTTATAACTGGAGACTGGAGTTACTAAATTGTTTTTCAATAACTAAGTGGCTAAAAACTAAGGTGTTTAAGAATACATTTTATCCCGAAAGTTTTGTTTTGTTACATATATGATGTGTTTGTGCTCGATCGCTAGTTAATAGGAGCACTGACCCATGCTCTATTACCAACGAGCCATTCCAACACACACGTATTCTTTGAAATACAGTTCTAAGTATTCATCTTCTTGTTATAAACAATGCAAAATTCGCAGTCGTTCCGAGACGTACCAAACTGTTCAGTATCTTATATTAAAAAACAGAAGTAATGACTTGACTTCATGTGTGATATTTCAAAAATTGAACTATTACTAGAAAATCATATTACATTAACTCTCTAATAATCTTATCATTATTATATCTTATGAAAAATCATATCTATAATAACAAAGATACGCTTAACAATTTGGTTTTGGTAATTACCCCATACCTTCCAACTTAGTCACGCAAAATATGTCAATATATATAAGTTTAGAAATCTTCTATTATTTATAAGTAAATATGTCAATAATAGTTAAATGCATCGACAATATATTAACAAAAATCACAAATTCGTAATATGGAATATTTATATCCCTAACAAAATTTATACGCTATATATACTAGATAAATTTATTTCGATGTAAATTTTTAAAATTATATTATTTAAAAAAAATTGTTTAAAAATTCATTTTTAATAAAATTCTTTATAATATTAATTTATGAAGCTATAAGTTTAGTTTTTAGCAAAATAAATTTTGAAGTTTATATTATCTTTGCAAATTAAAGTATATTAATATTTAATCAAACTCTATTTATATTACTTTATCTAAAAAGGAAATACTAATCTAACAAACAATAAAATATAGAAGAAAAAACAAACACATGGTTTAAAAACATGTATAATATAGAAAATTTGAAACAATCCTTTTGATTAAAACATGTATTATATAATATTATATGTTTGAAAAATATTTACTATACATATCGTAAATATGTGATTACTATAATATATATCAATTTACAAGTGAAAACAAAATGTTCATAGATCTAACTATAAACGAAAACAAACACCACGCGGTTGCACGGGTCAAAATCTAGTAATTACTATAAAACAAATAAAATATAACAACAAATAATTAATAAGAGACTCCAAATTATATATAAATATGAAAACTTACATTATGTTCGTCCCCCAAGTCTGGGATGTATAAACTAAAAGAGCTGAGGATGAGAGAGTTTCACCAGCCAAGACCAAGACACACACAGAGTCACAGAGAGAGTTTCAGAGACTCTTACGAACACATTACAAGCGAGGAGACAGAGACACAGACACAGACCCAGAAAAATATTACATTGTAGAGTGAATGTAAGAACACAAAATAAAGAGAAGATAGAAATCTATTCCCCAAGACTTAGAACCATATGGATACATCTTGCTGCTTCTGCTGCATACCATCCATCGTTCCTACTACTCCCGGCATTGACATATCATCTCTGTAATCGAATGCAGCCATATCAAACGGTGGAGAATCAAACACAAGCTGAAACCTGTTGCTGCTACTGTTGTTATGCGCAGCTTCAAAGTTGTTATTGTTGTGTGTAGCGTCGTACTTGAACCCATTGTTGTTGTTCCCTTGGAAAAACGTTTGATTGTTACCGTTATTGTTGTTGTTCCCTTGGAAGAACGTTTGGCTGCTAGTGTTGTTGTTGTTAACTCTGTTTGGGATGTTCAAGTCTTCAAAGAAACTCCCTTCCACCATGTTTCCTTGGAACTGGAGATGGTCTTGATGATTCTGGACTGTTGGTTGAAGCAGTGCCACACCTTGATTCTCCATGACCATAGAAGTCTGGTTTTGGTTGCTCTGGACGTTTCTGTCGTACATGGACATGAGCTCGGAGATCATCTTCTGTCCATCTTCAGGAACTCCAATACCGGTTAAGTCGATTGGCTGGGAAACCGAGTTCACTGGCCTTGGCTGAGAGAATCCAACGACAGGCTTAACTTCGTTGACATGGAACCTGGACGGTGCTGCTGCTGCTGCTCCATAGGATAAGCAACTCTCTCGGTGTGGACAAACAAACTGATGGTTGTCTCTTGAGTTCCTATCCAGAAAGCCACGACTGATTTCTCCATGCGCACACCCAGGATTCTCGCATGTGAAGATGGTTCTGTCCATCATAGTGTTCAGCTCTCTGTTTGGCTTCCTCTTCCTCATGAACTCCAAGTTCCCTGATGGAACTTCTTCCTTAACAGGGAAGTTAGCAGTCATCCCAAAGTTCGAAGGGTTCATCACTTTCTCCGGCTTGAGTTCCTCCACTTCATAGTGAGTCTCCTTCTCCAAACCTTCAACGTCGTATTGACTACAATCATTCATCAGAAGCGAGCAACTTCCACCACCGGATAAAGAAACAGGAGGGCAAGACTCAGGATAAAGCTCACGAGCCAAGGACTCTTCCTGGTTAATAATAGCAAGCCAAGTAGCACTCTCCTTAGCAGTCATCTTATCCTGCAAGCATTTGGACTGCCTCACAAGCTTCCGAATCTTAGCAATATCCGGAAACATATGCTTAATAACCGCAGTCAACACACCAACTTTCCACGCCTTCTTCAAATCATGAGGCTTCTTGTAAGGAGCAGGGCCTTGATCTTTAGGCAAACCAAGCTGAGGCCACCAGTCCTCTTTCCCATTAGGCCACCACGGAGGAGGAACTCCCTTCTCCAAAGGAAACCTCCTCTGAGGAGGATCACAGTGCTGCATCAAAGCCGACAAAAGCGACCCGAGAGTCGTGTCCTGAAGCTCCTGCAACGTATGAGGAGTAGGTCCAATGGAATTACTCCCTTCATGAACCCCAGGGATGTTGTTCTCCGCCTGGTACTTACTTATCGCAGCAGGACCATTACGATCAAACCTCACCTTATCTTTCCACCACTCCCTGAGATTATCAGAAGCCCCAGTGACAGGCTTCCCATTCTCAGGGATAATCCCATATACAAAGCCCTGAGCTTTACAGACTTCCATCATCTTCAACATGTACTTCAAGATCCCATCTTGAGCTCTAGACATCTTCTTCCTCCTGGCCTGCTCCTGAGACTGCCTCTGCTTAGCAGCGTCAACACCTTCTTTGCAGCTCTTGTCCTGCTCCTTGAGACGCTTAAGCCTCATCTTGTCCCTCCACATCCTCCTCTCGAGCTCGTCGACGTCGATCTCGTCGTCGGTGTAGTCGTCTTCAACGACGGAATCGGGTTCAGGGTGTTGTGGGGCGGGACAGAAGTCAACTTCTCCGAGGGAGGCAGAGGAGAAGAAGTCCATGTTCCCGCACATTCCCATCTCGTTAAACATCATCTTTACTCTCTTCAGAGTTAAGATCAGAGCCAATTATAAACCTGGGAAAACACACACACAAATAAAAATAAATCAATACATAAATAAATTAATAATCAAACCCTAAATCTAAAATTAGAAAGGGGGCTTTTTTGGGATTTAAATCACCAAGCTCTCAACTAAATAAGACTTATACATCAGATCGTATAGAATCAATCAAATATCTACGGACTCGATTTCTACATAAGTGATGATGAGATCCTCAACTTTTCAACAACCGAAAAATCCAAACTTTTAAACAACCGAAGAATCCCAATATAGAAAGGATCATTTGTGAAGAGGATATAATAAGAAACAAAACAATAGAAATTTTTTTACTAAAAAAAACATAAAGATCAACGATATTGAGATTCAACGAAAATCAAACGGGAAAGTAAATTACTATTTTATCAAAGGATTAGATCGTAGTAATCTGGAGTCAGAAACCGATGGATCTATCAAAACCCCATGAAATTAAGCTATCTAGCCATCATCATCTAAGAGTTGTCAATAAAATCAATTGGAGAAGAGAAGAAGGTAGTTACTAGTTACCTGGAGATTAACAAAAGCAGCCGAATAGAAATTGATGAGAAAGAAGAGGTATCTGTCTTGGTTTTGCGGGAAAATGAGAGAAAGTAAATAAAACCCTAATTCATCGCCTAAAAAAGTTGAGAGAGAGATGAAGATGAAGGAGAGAAGAAGAAGGAGAAAAGTCGACGAAAGATCACGTGGGTTGAAAGCGACTTTTGTTACTTGCGTTTCTTTGTGGAGTCTCGCTGTAGATCAAAGCCAGAAAGAGTGTGGGTTTATATATTATTTATTTTACTTGTTTTTTTAAAAGAAAGAACATTTATTGACATTTACTTTCTTTGTTGTTAAAAATAATTTTGGAAAATAAATAACAAAGCGCCTTTTGGCACTACTCACTGCTCCTCGTTTGGGGTTACTTTTGTTCACTTCCCTCTTCTTTTTTTATTAATATTACGCGGTACATATTTAATGTTTTTCTTTCACACGTCTAATTAATTGACGCGAAACCAAAATATACGTTATTTCTCACTTTTTTTTTTATTATCTTTTCTTTTTAAAATAGATTATCCATTATCCATAACTTCATGAAAATTGGTGGGAATAGTTCTTTTACATCATATTATTACAAAGAAACCATTTTAATAAGTTTTACTTCACCGACAACTATTATCAACTAGGACATTTTTAAATCTGAAGCGGTAAGAAAACATTTTAGTAAGTTTCCGAGCTCAAGATTATTATAAATAATTATCATCACGTCCTCCAACACGTTTGTTGAGAACGAATCATAAAATATTAAAAATGATTTCTTTTTGCACTTTTCGAGTGTCTGAAAACTCTCAAAACAAAATTTATTCTTAAACAAAACACACACATGAAAGTGAAGAAATGGAACTGTAACTTGTAATAATGATAGAAACAGTTTACAAGATGAGCCTGAAGACAAAGGTTGGACTGTGAAGATCAATGAAGTTGGAATGGGTGGGATTCAATTGTTGGAGATATATATTTTCTCTGGGTTCTTCACTCACTCCACTTTGTGTTGCATACTCTAATGCCATCTCGTAATCCACCTGATAAACCCATCATACAAGGATTCAGCTAAAAACAAAAACAGCCGATGAAGATGACGCAGAGATAACTTAAAACAAGAATGATTGATGCAAACCTGTTCCACATGCTCAGCAAGCTTTTCTTTCAATGTTTCTTTTGTGATTATACGTTTAGACACTTTCTCAAGCATAGCTGTTTCTTCCTCTTTGTAACGCTTTCTCTTATTTGTATGTTCTTCTGTCATTTGCTTTAGAACCTCGTAGACCGCTCCCGTTGCATCCGGTATGTACCTGCTCAAACTGCGTTTTCTCTCTTGTTGCTCGCGTGCTTGAAGCCTCTTGACTATTTTGGATTTCAGTTGAATGCAGCATTGTTGAATTGCAGACTTGATGGAAGAAAAAAATGACAAAAGTTAGCTTTAAAAAGTTGTGCAGCAGATAAAGTCGAGAAGTCTGAGGTTACCTTGACTGCAGTAGCTATCTCACTGATGTCATCTCCTATGTATTCTTTCCCTGTCCCTTTAAAAGGAATTTTTGTACTCACTATGCTCACAAATACTCCTATCTTATCTTGCGTCTGGTTAATTTTATAGCTATTCCAACTGCACAAGTTTTACAATTCCCCCATTTGTAAAACAAAGTAGGAGAAAAAAACCAGATCAAATGAGAACTAGCTAGCAAGATTAATAAAATCTTCTCACTTGATTCTCTTTAAGGCTGTCCTGGTGACAACATCGCCTCCTTGTTCAAAAAGGAGAGGAATACGGTTTGCAAATCGGAATATGTTGATCCCCTGTCATTTCCGTTCCAACAAAGTCCCATAAGAAAGCAAAAGATAATATTGTGAGATCAAGATAAGTTGTCAAGGAATAATGTCAAGAAGATTATTCTTATTTCCTAAGTCGAGAAGCTCGCTTTTATTTCTTTATCATTCTTCATGGTTGCATAGAAGAGCGATGGATATCATCCTGCTAAATTTTACTTCACTTATGTGCCAACACATAATGACAAAATTTAACCTCTGGTAGCTACTCTCTTTGGAGTGTGTTTGCAAGTTTTGCTGCGAATGAGAATATACATGAATAAGAAAAAGGAAGATAATGACTTGCCTGTTTTACATCTCTTCCACCCACACTAACACCAGCTTCAACAATGAAAGGATGACCTTCAAATACCTGAGCACTGAACATAGTTCCCAGGAAGATGTCCACACGTTTAAGAAATAAAGCTCAGATTAACCACAAATAGGTATAAGTAAGTTTGACCGATGAGATTACTATAAGATAAACTATCTAGCACTCCATATTTAAATTCCGATGCATTGGCAGAAAATTGAGGGTTGAATTTACAACCTGCCTGAATGCGTTGCCACCATATCTGGATGCAGCTCCTTGATAATCCCTAGACGAAGATTGTATTCTCCTGCCGGGCTAAGACACTACAGGAGAAGACCATTGTGTGATTAGAACTAAGTTTTTGCAACAATCCAGATGCTGTACCATATTAAAATTTTATAAGAGCTGCAACAAAGACAGAGAAATAACAAAGCAGTTCCCAATGTACAGTTACGAGAAATTAGCTGCTTACATCACCACTAGGGTCGTCGAATTTAGCTTGGCGGAATAACTGATGTATGCGCACCATTTGCTGTGATGTCACAGATTTGACAGCCATGCCAGGGCTGAAATCGGGTCCCATTTCACCTGAAAGAAATAAAACAAGTATACTCGTGGTTGAACTTTGACTCGAGGGATAGTATAGGTGGTTTTTTTATGTTAAATCGACATTCAAACTTATATAACAAACGAGATTGGTGTCATACTTACCAATTAATCTCGCTGCAAGATTTTTGTTGATATTCACAAATTCATTCTGAAGAAACTGCAGAAGGGTCTTTTTGGAAGTGTCTGTAACAAGGCGCTTGATAAGCAGCAAGTCAACTGACGAAGGATGGTGCTTTGTCTCGATAGGAATTGGGGGCATCACATCCGTTCTTCGAGTAAATTTTACAGTGACATTTTTCCTATAACAAATAAAAAATTGAACAACTTAATAATGCTGCACGTGAACAGATATACCTATGTGACAGGGCAGCAAGAAGACAGAGACAGATATCATACTCTGGTGTTTCTGAAATAAATCTAAATAGAAACTGCGCATAAGGAGTAATAACAGCCATTTGGCGCATGTAGTGCAAGATCTTTGACTGGAAAAGAAAAGATAAAAATGTGTTAAGACATTTGTGCACGCAAAATATCTAACGAAAGTACAGCAAAAGGGCGATCCAAACCACGTACTCTGTATGTCGTCCAGTTTCCTTCAATTACCACCTGTATTTCGGCTCCATGCCATTTCTCTTTGTTGGCCTTCTTTTCGTGTAGATGAATATGAGGAATGTTCCTGCAAGGTTTAACCATTTAAAGATCATTCTTTGACGGTGAGCTAAATGATAACTTTCTTAAAAGATCCAAACAGTCAAAGCATTAATAGATAATCATGAGAAGACTCGAATATTCAAAGGATTCATGGCTATTATTGTCACATGCACAAACATAAACAGTTGGATAGATAGCTTCCGAGAAGCTGTTCACATATTCAAGGGGTACCTGTGAATATCAATATCCAATCTGCAGAACGTAACATAGTTTTGGCTCTTCATAGATGAAGAGATCTCTATAGGGAGGCCTGTACTCATTTTGGACCAAATTAAAGCCTGCACGCCAGGAGAAAATAGAGAAACTAGAAGAGTCAAACAGGTTCTCTAGGAAAACTTTAGACATGAAGGGTAACATTCCATATTTAATGCATACATTTACCACTCCTACACTCTCCATGTAAAGAATAAATTCACCTCAGAATCTTACAAGGCCAATCTCAGATATTAAACATGCCAAATAAGAAATCAAAAGAAGGAAAAGAGTACCATCTTTGCCCCTAAACCAAACTTTCCACGTGTTTGCTTCAGTCCATACTTTGTCCCAGACAGAACTGTAAGAAGAGCAAATTTCAGATCTAGCCCCGAGAAAAAAGCTTTTTCTAAGGCTGATACGCCAGCTAAACTAATAGAGGAAGTGAGGGTGGTAATTAGCTACGTACCTCTCCCAAACATATTTGGGATGTCATCGTGTGGCATCCCCTTACCATTATCCTACATAACAACCAACTCAAGTCAAATCTCAAAAACGAAGTGCGCAAGAATATATTTAGATGCTGAAGGTATATATGACTATCAGCCTGTCAGTATAACTAACCCTTGAAACTGAAACTTCACAAACATCAATTTCTGTTCAACTAAACAAAAAAAGAATCCAGATACTGACCTTACATGTAACCTTGTAATAGGAAGCTTCCCCACGGGCCTTCAAGACCTTAGAGACTCCAGGCTCTTTGTTTTTCTTTCCCGACGCCAGGTTTTTGGCTTGTATCTCACTGGCACGAGCTTCCTTTACTAACCTTTTCTACAAAGCAACACAGGAAACAAGTAACAAAAATCAGAACTGTTAACAACCCAGAAGATTGCAGACCAGTGAAACAAAAGCTGCTTTAACAAGAAAGACTGAGATAATAAAGAGAGAGCAAAGGAGGCACCTCACGGGCCTTGTCAGTCTCATAGTCATCATAGAGCTGGGTGTCAACACGTTCACGATCAATAAGACCAATCATGGAGTTGAATTTAGATTTTCCAATCTCTTCGCTTCAAAAGAGAACAAGACAGTCAGTAAAATCTACGGACAGGAACAAAGCTGGTCAAAAGAACCTTGATCCAGCAAAGACCCTACGCCTTGTCCCTATCATATGGAATGATCTCAAAAAGTAGATATCAATATAGCTAAACAAAGAAGGGGGGACGTACATAGTAACTTCAACCTCAGGGAGCTCAGAGATGGACTCGGAAGAATCAAGAGCGTTTTCAACAAGCTCTCTCACTGTAGTGTACAGCGACTTCCCTGGCTGAAAATAAAATCAACAATTCAAAACCAAATTTGAAACAAATTGGCCATTAAGGTTCCATCTTTATAAATTGAAAAAAAAAAAAAAAATTGGGAACTCACATTATCGAATCCAGCAATGTTCTTGTTCTCGGCGAAAAACTCAGCTGGAGATTCTGCAAAATTCACAAATTTCGAAAACAATTACTTTGAATTAAGCTCAATCAACACTCAATGAAACTCGAAAATGTGGAGATAAAGTAGCAATTACTCTGCTTGAGAGTGCTCTCGTTACTACTCTCTTTACTCTTCTTAGAGTTCTTGGCGCTTCCCTTCTTCGTTTCAGCTGGACCATCATCTCCCGCCATCAAAATAGATCGAACCAACCAAAAATTAATAAATAAAAACAAAAAGCGAATTCAATCAAATCTCTGAATACAAGACTAGATCCGATCCCCAAATTCAAAGCAGGATATCTAGGGTTATATGAAAGGAGGGAAGTTAGAGAAAAATTTATAAGGGTGAAACGGTAATTTCCTTCGTTAAGTGATTCAATTCAGTGAGCGAGAGCGGTTACGATACATATGATAGCGTTTGCGGTTGAGTAACTGTAATTTGTTTGTTTGGATCAATCAAATACAAAAATATCTTCTTATACGGAGATCAATCGACGAGAATAGAGAGAAAAAGGAAAATGGCGAATCCTTCATCACCACCTGGAATCGCCATTCTTGGAGCTGGGATCTTCGTCAAGACTCAGTACATTCCTCGCTTAGCTGAGATCTCCGATCTCGTCAACCTCAAAGCCATTTGGAGCCGTTCTGAGGTAACCATTATTCGCCATTTTGAAATAGTGAACTATATCTATCCATCACTGCGCTTGATCTGAGAGCTGATATTTGAATAGTCAAGACGATGATTAATTAACGACGAATCTGTAGCTTATGTACCAGTACACCGTTAGGCTTGCTTCCTTATGGTAACTTATGGTTTTGTGTTGAAGGAATCTGCGAAAGGAGCTGTGGAGGTAGCACGGAAGCATTTTCCTGGAGTGGAGTGCAAATGGGGAGATGAAGGTCTTAATGACATCATTCAAGACACTTCCATACTTGGTGTTGCTGTTGTCATTGCTGGCCAAACACAGGTATGTGTCTCTTTAATCCTAGTTTCAACGAATATGCGTATGGTTTCTTTTTCTTACTAACACAAGCTCACTGAACTCTCAATATCTTATGCCTTTTAGGTTGAAATGTCACTGAAGATGCTCAAGGCAGGAAAGCACGTCCTTCAAGGTGAATTTTCCACTTCTTTAATCCTAAAAAAGCTGCACTGTCTTTGATTGCTCAAACATGGGTAATGTTTGACCTTTTGGCTATGTCTTGCCGTTGCTAAACATGGGAATAATTTGCTTTCATGACATTCTTCTTTCTTCACTAGCAATGTTATTGCTACATGAAATGTATCTCAACTTAAAACATTAATGATTTTTCTTCTTTCTTGATATGTATGTTGCTGTCCTGGATCGGTTTTCAGAGAAGCCAGCTGCTGCTTGTAAGTTGTTGATCACTGCTCTTGTTTAAATCAGCTTGTCATCTTTTTTAAGTTTATCCATCCTTGTTGTATGAGAGATGTATAGGATTACTCTGTACCCATTTGAGCGTATAAATTAAAAAAAAAACTTATATTCGTTAAACCCTTTTTTATTGCAGCAATCAGTGAGATAGAAACTGCAATGTCAAGCTATAGAAATATGTCTGCTGATTCCCCATGCCGTCCAATCTGGGCTGTGGCTGAAAATTATCGCTTTGAGCCAGCTTTTGTTGAGGTAAATGTTACTCAAGTGTCTTCCTGCCACTTCCGGTTGAGTAAGTAACATCGTTCTTAAAATATCTCATAACTGATTTTGGCAGTTGAAGAAACTGGTGGAGGAAGTTGGGGATATGATGAATGTCCAACTTATCATTGAGGGATCAATGAACAGTTCAAATCCTTACTTCTCAAGCTCCTGGAGACGTGATTTAGACGTACGTAATATATTCTGGTTTGTCACATTATTTTTCTATTAGACTCTATTGCATCTCCCTTGTCCCATTCTCCCTAACACGCTGCTTAAATTGTAACTAAAGAATCATATGGCTCCAAATGCTATCATCCTGCTACAATCATTTCGCTTTACATCGACAATTATACTAATCACACATATATCTCGAAGAAGCTGTGGTATTTTGTTAATATTTTCCGTAAGCTCTTCATATGCAGGGTGGATTTATCTTGGATATGGGTGTGCATTACATTGCAGGATTAAGAATGGTACCATATAACTTCATTAACTAAGAAATAAGCCTTTTCGAATATCCTGCTGTTGGACTCCAATTTGATGTATTGGTTTGTCAACGACAGCTTGTTGGATGCGAGGTAGCATCAGTCTCAGCCACCACTTCCCATGTTGATAAGACTTTACCTGCACCAGACAATATAACATCTAACTTGTAAGTGTAGCTACAACAACACACTAATTTTACATGAATACTCTAATCTGTGACGTTTATTTGCTCTGCAGTCAACTTGAGAACGGATGCTCTGGAGTTTTTGTCATGGTTGTGTCTTCAAGGTCTCCAAAGGCAAGTAGTAAGACTTAGATCTTTTGCTTTCCACAACGCTTCAGCGTAAGAACCATAGTTTTCTCACATAAAATTATATGTTTTAGATATTATGGAGAGTCGTAGGATTAAAGGGAACAGTTCAACTTGAGCGTGGAGTCCAAGATGGCCGACATGGTTACATGGTTTGAAAACATTCAACATGACCTACTGAAATATCCATATTTTGCTTGAAACTACTCAACTAAAATGGCTGTAATCTTATGAGCTTTTCAGGCCACAGTTTACGGAGAAGGAGGGACATCAAGGACCATCTTTTACCCGTTTAGTGGAGTGACTGAGGAGCTAAAAGCGTTCTTCAGTGACATTTCAGGGACGTCAAAGGTAATCCTAGAATCTTAGGCCTTGGAAATGGAATGCAGGAACTCAAAACATTGTTCGTTTGATATCTGAATTTTCCTTATGCGTCTTGATGATGCATATACTGTAGGAGCAAGAGCCTCGTCTGTCTTACGTCGAAGGTGCTAGGGACGTTGCTGTTCTTGAGGCAATGCTTGAATCTGGTGCAAGAAACGGCGCTGTTATTCCTGTTAAAAAGTTCTAGCTTTGTAGCTTTTGATAAGTTATTGTCTAGACATCAAGAGACCACCTAAGCGATGTCTGAATAAAATTTCATGAGAACTCAAACAAAAATTATTTTGTAACAATCCTTTTTATAATCCCGAGTACTATTATGCACTCTAAATTTGCTGTTCTAAAGCTTATTATATAATTACAAGAAGAATTTCAAACAGATTAAAAGCCTATAACATCATCCAAGTTAAGGCATCAAAAGCACATGAATAACTTAGAAACAAACAAAAACAAGGATAGGCTGAGATGAATTCAGATCAAAGCATGTGCTCAAATCCTCCACCTTGATGTGTTGGGACTCGCCCAACTCCAACATTGTGAACCAACTGTTGTAGCCACCTCCTCGCGATTTGATCCTCCTGAAAAGAAACATAACACCAAATTTCAACTAAGCTGCCATCTACTTAAACAAACAAGTGCAAAATGAGTCAAAAATGTAAAATGACTTACGCGAAGGCAGTTGCTGAAGGTTCCATCTCGTAGGGAGTCAGGGAGACAGCTTCCAAGTGCAGCACAAGCCCTAAACAATACACAAGTGAGTAAGCTCAAGCATGAAAAAGCCAAACAAAACTTTGATGAAACTTGTTATAAGCTAAACAAACCTTGGGTTGTCTGATAAACGGAGATAACAACGGATAATATGTTTCAAAAGACGTGGAGAAGGCTGCTCCACAAGAGACTGAACCATATTGCCCAACACTCGCCCAACAGCAAAAAAACGCTCTGCTGTTGTGCAGATGTAATCCATCCCCACATCATCCAGCAAGATCTTCTGAACTATGAATGTCGCAACCTAATCACAGAAAGTTGGTTCGTTAAAAAAAGCATTAATCCACAATGTTATTGTAGGCTAAAAGGCTTACAGTTTTCGACAGCTCACTCCCCATCTCCATGGTGCGGAGGCACAAAGGAATAATTTCAGTTGACAGAAGGAAGCTAATGACCTCTGTATCATCAACCTGGTTAACAAGAGTGAAAAGAAGGATGTCAGTGACCTTTCTAATTTGATATACTTAACAAGCTAAATGAATGTAAATCCTATATCACTCATTTGGAAACAAAGACCATTTACACAATTTTTAGTCCTTCACCGTCAGCAAAAGAAAAAATTTGGTGCGGAACCTCAAAAAAAAGGGGGGAGGGACAAAGGGAGGGGATGGTTTACCTTCACAAGAGCACCAATGACACCTAAGCTGGTAAGGCGCAAGTACTCGAAAGGTCTTGACTTGCTCGTGGTATTCAGAAAGGGATAAAGGTACAATGGGATGTGAGCTGTTTATAAGAAACAAAAAAAAAAAAAAGGCATCACAACCAATTCATCAGTTAATTAACTGAAATCATACAAGAATAGACAATAAACAGATAACTACCCCACTACTAGCATTAAAGAAACAAGAGGATATGGTAGACATTTCAATGTTACACAACATTATTTGTATAACCCAAATAGAAAGAAAAAGAACATTACCCTTGAGAAATAACATCCTCGTGTCGGAATGAGATGCTACGCACTGCAGAGTTGGAACAACAAGAAAGAAGCGCATCAGGAATCTGTTATGCAGGTATATGAACATGGAAACGGAAATCTCCATGTGAGATCACAGAATGATTTGACCTGAAGAAGGGCGAGTGAGTTGCAAACACGGTTGGACTGAGCAGGAGTCAGATTTGGAGGTGCAAGAACAGAGTAGATTGACACTATCTCCTGCAAGCAGAAGCAACCAGTCAGATCATACCACACTAACAACAAATGAAATAGCATTTGCTAATTAACTTCCACTTGGATATAAAAAGAATCATTTCAGACTCATTAAAGTTTGTACATTAAAGGCATACCTGCAACAAGGCAGCAATGGTACCAAAAGAGTTCCACAAGAGAGGTGCCAAATCCTGAAAGAGTTCTCTTTTCTACAACAAAAACAACAGCAACTAATTCAGACAATGAGATTGTCAAAACCCTAGCTCTTGTTTCTCCAATAAGACCAAAACAAAAAGTGACAACCCATTAACGATTAGGATGAGAACCTTGGAAAGCTCGAGGAGAGCATTCTCTCTGAGTTCAGGATTGCTGAGATCGAGAACCAATTGCTCCGCGGAGGCCAAGTTTCTATCTTTGTTCGCCGGAGCTCCGGCCGAATTGCTGGGACCACCGAAAGGTGTGCCCATAGAGAGAGATGGAGGTAGATTCGCCATTCTTCGACCAGATTCGATTACTTGTCTCTCGCTTTGTCGTAGTTGTAGGTTAACACCTTTCCTCCTTTCTCTCGAGTTTGAAGAGTTCGGTTTCTTCTCTCTTCTGTCTGTGTGTATTTTTGGAAATGACAGTTACACCCTTGTTTTTTCTTCTTCTTTCCTTTTTCAGGTTTTCTTTCCAAACTAGCAATTCCGTGATTTTTAAGTTTCTTAAATTTAAAAAGTTAATGCTTTTTTTATTTTTAAACAAGGAAAATCTCATTAATATCTTGAAAAATGAAAACACATGTTGTTTCAGTATTCTATGTACTTTGTAGTATGTAAAATTATCCACAAAAAGAAATATTCATAAAATTAAATAAAATTTCAAATTAAATTAAAATATAAAAAATAAACAATATTAAAATAAAATACAGAAATTTAAATGGAAATTCAGAAAATTAAACAAATATTAAAGAAAAAGCACAAAATTCAAAAAATAGAAAATTCAAAATAGTTTTTTTTTTAATTACAAGACTTGTTTTAAAACAGATTTATCATCATTGACAACAACAATTTCAAACATATCACTGATGACGATGGTGGTTTCTCACATAACCACTAACAATGTCATTTTAACATATCTGTAATGATGGTTTCTGACATCATCATTAAAAATGTTGATAGATATTGTCAAGATTTTTAACGATGATGTCGGACTATCGTTAGAGATATGTAAAAGATGATACTATCGTTAGAGATATATGTCAAAACGTCATTGATAACGGTTATGTGAGAAATTACCGTCGTCATCAGTGATATATTTGTAATTCTTATTTTCAACGATGATAAGTATGTTGTAAAATAAATTTTGTAACAAGAAAAAAAAACTAGTTTGAATTTTATATTTTTGAATTTTGTGCTTGTTTCTTTAATTTTAGTTTTCTGAATTTTCATTTAATTTTCTGTTTTTAATTAATATTCTTTTCTGTATTTAATTAACTAATTTTCTGTATTTTAATTTAATATTCTTTATTTTATTTCTGCATTTTAGTTTAATCTCTTTTTTTCTTTTATTTTCGGTATTTTAACTAATTTAGTTTATTTTTGAAATTTTATTTAATTTTCTGAATTTTTATTTATTTTCTAGATTTTTATTTAGTTTTATGATTTTATTTTAGTTTTCTGACTTATATTTCTTTTTAATTTAATTTTTATTTATTTTATTAATTAAATCATTGTTATTTTTTTGAAAAACTGACACATCATCATGTTGTACATGTCAGAGTTTTACTTGATAAACAAGTAAACTACGTCGAATGTTTTTTGTTATACAAATGTCATTCTGAATGTTTAAAATGCTAGTAAAAAACTTCAAAGTTTAAATTTTTAGTATATGCTATTTTTAAGGTTTTTTGATGCGATTTTCTCTTTTTAAATATTTAAATCAGCGTTTGAGTTGGCCTAGTAAAAGTAATATCTGCTAATAAATACTTTTTCACTAATACTTTGAGACATCAAATTCGAGCAGAAGCCCACAGAAGTGTTAGTGTGTAAGAGAGAGGAAAAAAATCAAGGAGAGTTAGCCAAGATTCTAGAAAAGTAGGAGCATGAGACAAGTTGTGTGTGATGAACCCGAGATAATGGCCAAATCTGAACTTGACTGTTTGTTTGATGTTGTAGGTTTATTGATTATGGAGCTACTGAAATGGATCAATGGAGTCTGCATTTCTTTCTTTCTAATTCATGTAAATTGTCGTTTGATAAATGAGTAGAAGATAGAAATTGTGTTGTTTTCATAAGACAGGTCTCTCAAACCTCACAATGTCCTAAAACAGTCAAGAAGGAAAGAGATGCGCCAGCTAAAAACTGGTATACTTGTTAATAATGTCAACGGGGATTTGAAATTACCAGGTTGCTAATGGGATTCATGCCTTTGTTATTGTTGATCACTAATTCCCACTCCTTACAGACCATTGTAAACCACTGCATTTCGTTAAAGCCATATGACACCGGTAATGGCAATAAAAGAAGTAAAGAACCTATATCAGGTTCACTTATTCAGAAACTTGTTGTGATTATGGACCCAACCATGCAAACAAGCATTAACTTAGCTAGAGACCGCAACTAAAAAATCTTTTTCCTAATTGTATTGGAATTTTTTTTTGAATTTTTACTATGTTTTCTATTTATTTTTCAATCGATGTTGGGAAATTGCCAGAAATAACACTTTCAAGATACCACTTTTCAACTTTACACTAACCAACTTTACCATTAAAATTTTAATAGTCAAAATACTATTAGAATTTAGGGTTTTGGGTTTAGGATTGATAATTTAGGATTTAGTGTTGATTTTTTAGGGTTTAGGTTTTACTTTTTAGGGTTTAGAGTGTAGGGTTTAAGGTTTAGAATTGATATTTTAGGGTTTAGAGTTGATTTTTAGGATTTAGGGTTTACGTTTTAGGGCATAGAGTTAAGAATTGATGTTTTAAGGTTTAGGGTTAATATTTTATTTTATATTTATTTTATGTATATATATAAAGAACAAGGATATAAGAGTATTTTATCCTTTAATAAAATGTGTATTTTTGAAAATGTTTCTTTGTTGATAGTAAACATGAAAAGTGGTACCAACAAAGTGGTATAATTGAAATTCTCCCATGACTTTTTTAGCACAAATTTAATTTTCATTTATATTCAATATTCTTCAGTCCTCTTATTATTAAAAAGGAAACATTTTTAAAGAATAACTTTTCTTTAGTACTATATTCACAATTTTGTCATTATTGATGAAGTGTCATCACCATATGCCTCTACAATATTTTTTTTTGATAGATCAACATTTACTAGAGAAATTACATAGTATGCCATTGGTGATTATATAATATATGAGTATAAATAACATTAAACACACACATAACCATTTTTACAAAAAAGCCGTGTATTCATGTAGCCACCCACCCTACTCATAATAATAAATGTACTCAATATTCTCCTCATATCTTACATTCTCTTTTTTTTTTTCTTTTTGAACACATATCATATCTTACATTCACTATCTAAATCTTATTATTAATTATAGATTAAAATCAAACAATAAGTAAAAAGCCAATATGATCATCAGGTAGGTTATCCACGTAGGCAAAAATAATCATCTAATTAGATACTTAATTTTTGCCACATAAGCTATTCTCAAGATGAAACTAAAATCAAACACCTTTTCTCTCCTTCGATCGAATCTCTCTAGTCTCTACGTCTTATCTGATTCCTAAACTTGAAATCTTCGTTATTGAGCGTCCTCTTCTATCAGCCAATATCATGCTCTTTAATATCCTCTTAATGTCTTCGTTTCATTATCTCCTTCTATCAACCAATCTTAATTTCCTTCCATTCAGAACCGAAAAGCTCATATCCATAAGCCAGTTCCATGGCGATGAAACCCAATGATCGTCTGCTCAAATGTTTATTCTGAAGGAGCAACTTACTCTTTCTATGAGGTTCAGTTGTAATACTTAAGGTATCGAATCCACAAGGAGCTAGGGAACCTAATAAATCTAGTCAAGTAACAATTTAGGTGAATATATAAATAGCAGAAACAGTAAATAAGTATACATGAAATATTCCAATCAAGCAAGACAATTCCTTAATAGAGAATGGAAACAAAGACTCTTGAAACTAAAATGGAAAAGATGTTAGACTTAGGGTTTTTATTCAGGTTTTGGGATTATAATTCTACAGGAGCTATTCAGTTACTTGCTAGACATTATAGAGCATTAACTATTTTGATTAACAAATTATTTAAACTATTTTTCAAATAAATAAGTCTAATAACCGGCTGGTCGCACTTGACAGTGTCGAACGATTATTCGGTTGGAACATCGATCGATACACTAAACTCATAATCGATCGATTTCTGGTCGGAAGATCGATCGACAAGTCCGGTCAAGCAATACACACAAGTTAACATAAACTCATTAAAGACCTCTAAATCAAACTATCTCTTTATTTCCAACAATTTAAGCTTAATAGGGAATCTGTTCAGGACTATCAGAATTGTTTAAATATCTCTAATCCAACCTAATCAATCCATGATTCAATGTTTCTAGTTAGCTACTCTAGAACCATGAGCAATAGGAACCTCCTATTAATAAGTATCAAAACTAGAAATCTTATAGTTGGGGCTAATCCTTCTAACCTATTTAAACCCTAAATCTAACAATTATAAACTACTCAGACATAGCTAAGCAGTTCATAACACAAATAGATAAATAAAACTGCATATTATAAATAAATATATAGATAGAAAATACTGGAGTTTCAGTCTCAAATCTCATTGATGATCTTCTCTCCAAACTATAAATCCTAAACTTTTTGCTGTGAAAAGATTACAATTAAAAACTCCCTCTCAGCCTCTAACACTTGTATAAAAACTTAGGTTAAAACTCATCAGGGGTAAAATCGTCATTTGGTGATGATTGGGCTTCAGGTCAACTTGTCTCTCGAATTGCCTTCGGGGTCTTGATAATCGATTGATCATGCGGGATGCATATCGATCAATCCGATTCTCTTTGTGTCGACTTCGTGATCAATTCTGAATCGAACGCTTCTTCCAATTCTCTCCAAAATGCTCCAAAACATCACTTTCTTCCAAAATACTCATGAACTCGTAAATATGCTTAAAAGCTTCTATAGTTAGTAAATAGTAAAAACACCAATATAACATGACTAAAAACAGATCAAAATCATGGTATATCGACTCCCCCAGACTTACCTTTTTGCTTGTTCTCAAGCAAAACAAACAGGTAGTTTTTCTGAAAGATGTTTGAAAAGAATATGGACTCATAGATTTAAAAACTTTTGAAATCATGACCTCTATAATATTGCAATCCACATCTAAGACATTCTAATCACAAAAGTTCATTATGCAATACCCTAGCTTAGCAACCAGATTCATCTAACCAACAACTTAGCAAATACTATCTGACATTCCCCTCAACCAACCCCATTTCTTTGCATAAAAT